ATTGCTCTAAATAGCAACTGATGGAATGTTTCTAGCTTTCTGAAATTTATCGATCTTGCCTGAAATCAGACGTAGGCCACAATGATTACATTTTATTTTTAAATAAACTATCTTATGGAAAAATTTCTTTTTTTTTTTTTCAATGGGTAAGATATCTTCAAGGAATCAACCTAATTCATTTTCTCTAATTCTGGTGTGGTGAATCGGAATGGGAGTTAACAGTCAAGAATGGAGGCTGCCAATGCCCTGCTGCTAACTAGTTGTATGATCTTGAGTGCAGCCAACCAGGTCTCAGGCCATGGTACTAATAGTCTTTGATAAAACAAATCTTCTCGCTTGTATCTTGTTTTGTATTCCGCTTATTTCCAATTCTATTCTTCAATGTCCAATATATTTACCTTTTCACAACCACGTTTGTAATATGTTATTATTTTCTCACAAAAAAAAAAAAAGATGAGAAAGGATCCTTCTAAGCCAGCACTTCTTTTCTTACTGTGACTTGAGTTGCTATGAAGGGCCAGCAGCACCGCTTAGGTGCTAGTGGTGTATTATTAACTACTAAATTGGTTTCTCAGAATAGCAGCTGCAGGGCTCTGGGTTGTTTTGCTAGTTATGCTGATCTTATTCATGACTTTTATGTGAATGGCAATTCCTTTTTTTGTTCCAAAGAGGGCTGTTGTGTCTCCAGAACACCTTCCCCTTCCCCTCTGCCATGGTGGTTATGACAAGATCAGCTGGCTTCCAGAAGGCAAAATATTCAGTAATGTTCAAAGAGAAAAGATCATCTCCAAGTTTCTTAAAGAAAGCGTTCTAAAGAGAGTGTTCCGTTCAAAGCAAATGAGGTGGGAGGATCCCGACTACCAGAAAGAGGATCCAAGCTACAGCTTTCCTGGCACCAGAAAGTAAGTTCTGATCCTGAAACGTAACCCAAAATTCAAAGTGAATTTGTGACATAAGGCTAAGAAAACACAGCTACAGAGTGTAGGCATCTGAAGGACAGGAAGACTGCTTAAGCAATTCAAACTGCAGAATTCAAGTCTTGCAGAAAAATCTAAATAAAGGTGGAAATGTGATTGAGAATTTATTCAAAAGCACTAGCTGCAACATATGCAGATGTAAAACTTAACTGCTCTATGTACTTATCTTACTTTTGGAAATATATTCATATACATCATTATCAAATTCATTCTAGGAATACATAAGTTTTTAACAAGATTTCTTATATTTCTGCAATAAAATGGTGGTCTCCCAAATAGGGGAATAAAGTGTTAAAGGTTAATTTTTAAAACAAAAACACAACCCCTGTCTAACAAAATGTTTTCACATATATTTCTTAAAAAGGAATTATACAAACACAAGAAAGTTAGGCTTTTTATGGTAAATATTCATAGAAATGGAGTCCTAAATTGGGGATAAATATCATTGGCTGTGACTGAAAGACAAAGCAGAAATTGGAAAGGGAATAAAAGAGTAATTAGCTAAACCAGACACTAAATACAAATTGTTCATAATTGAATTGAAATGTTTCCCACTAACTTGGCATCTATTTGAAAACAAAATGCATATTATTAATTGGAAAATATTGTCCTGACTTTCCAAAAATATTTACGTAGTAATTACACTAATCAAGATTCTATTGCAGTACAGGACCAGCCATGACCTGGGCAATAATGTAGGGAAAAGTAAAGGGAGTTGAAGGCAAAGGCAGGGGTAAATGTAAAAACAGCAGGGGTATTGAAAGAGGTAGATTGAAACAGAAAACTTTCCCTCCAGAGTAAATAGAAACTAAACACTGTTGTTGCAGACATTTCTTTGCACAACCCTGGACTATGAAAAAAAATGTATATCAAAGTGCTTTCCAAAATAATTAGCTGGTGGTCGATATCATCATCTTTGTCATAGTAGGAGAAACAGAGCAGCAAAGCATGCTTTCCTACTAAGTGACTGGCTTAAGGCCCTCCTTTTCCAACAATTCAGACCACCTTCATTGTAATTAATGTAAGAGCTTGTTAAATGCCATGAGATAGAGAGTATCTATGTTACCCTACTCCATTGGATTAGCTAGAAATGTATGGGTTTAAAGTAAGGGCATCCTGAGACTACCACTAAAAACTGAATCCAGAGTGGTCTAGAAGGAAGGTGTGTTCTTTTGGGGCAAGGATTGATGATACAGCTGGACCAGACCTACTATGGAAAACAGCTCACTGTCCACCTAATCCCCACACTCTCAAGGCTGGACGGGAGCCCAACCAGACTCAAGAGTTTGGAGAGTGCATCATTCTCTCAGTTGTTTCTCTTCTATTCACGCTACCACATTTCACATTTAGTTCTCTCTCTTAGCATTGTCTCCTCACCACTTAGAATGGCTGCTCCCCTGTAAACACTCTAGCAGCGGTTCTCAACCTTTCACAGGGGTCGTCTAAGACCTTCGGAAAACACATATTTTCAATGATCTTAGGAACCGAGACACCGCTCCTCTATCTGTTTCCAGGCCCACATGCAGATATGCCCACATACGAGTACCCGGCGACCCCTGTGAAAGGACCCCCAAAGGGGTAGCGACCCACAGGTTGAGAACCGCTGCTCAACAGGGACGATCCTGTCACTATAGTTTCAAACCTGTAATACTAAAAACTTCATCAATTCAGCAAGTGAGGGGGGGGCGGGCACAAATGATTTTGATGCTGATGTCCAAGTGTTCAAAAGGTCTCCAGAGAAAAGGAGTCAAGTGGAGATAATAGGAAAGGAAAGTTTTAGGACTATGTTTATCAAGGAAACAAGAAAAGAATCTTAAAGGATACATTAATGGATGACAAGTCTCAGAGGGACTTTAAGGGATCAGGCATCAGCTCAAGTTCTGAAACAAAAGGAAAAAGCAGAAACATAAAGCAAGAAAGATGGGAGATGCGTAAGCTAGATATGTGAAATGCACACATGCATACTCACACACAAGCAAAATTCTTGAGTCCTTTGCAGAGGACAGAAAAAAAAAATCTCAGCTAGATAAATTTGTAGAAAGTGTTAGCTGGAAATACATGGACCCTAATATTTACCCAATTCACAATTTTTCAAGTAATTGTAAGTTGGGAAAAGTTACTTAACATATTTAAGGCTCAGTTCACTCATAAAATAGGAATAATTAGTAGTAGCAACTTCATTATGTTGTAAAGAGTGTTGAATTGGTTAATCTGAATAAAATGTTCAGCATTATGCCTGGCACATAGTCACCACACCATACACTCTAGCAAATGTTATTTTGGAGTAAATTAATTATAATATTTACTGAGTGCCTAGTATATGGCAGCACTCTGCTAGACTGAATAAAGCCAAGTGTTGCCTTCAAGGCATTGGAAAGAAAATGAGTGAGATGTTGTCAACTGATAATTATAATGGAACAGTGAGTAAGGAACTCTAAACAAATCATTATAATATAACCCAGAATAGGGATCTTGAAGAAGGTAGCAATTTATTCTTACCGAGGGATCAAGGAAGATAATTTGTGAGCTAGTTCTACATAAATGGGACTTAACTTAGGCAGCTAAAAGAAGGGAGGAGATTAAAAAACGAGAGAGAGAGAGACGCTATTACAGAAAAAGTAAATATAATGCATGTGCTGGAAAAGAGAGGGTGTTTAGAAAAATTGCAAAATGTCTTGATGTGTTTGGCATGTTGTAGGCAGTGGTAAGGTGAAGAGCAGATGCTTGAAGCCTGGCTACAGAATTTGGACTTTATTCTTCAGGTGTAGGAGGGCATTTGAGCAGATCTGTGTTTTAGATTAGCAGTATGGAAAAGTCTGAAGGAGGAGAGTGCTTAGAAGGTAGACGTCCAAAGAGGCCTAGGCTACTTATCATTAACCTATATTTAGTGTCCAACACAGTTTAAAGTGATGGGGGTTCAGCAATGAACTGAGTAGGCAAGGCCCCTGCCCTCATAGAGTGTTCTATTCTACTGGGAAGAGACAGACAATAAAAAAAAGAAAACAAGACTAACAAGATTGAGAAGAAATAAAAATAGGGTACCATGAAATAGAGTAATGTGGGGTGGCAAGGGCTTTTTAAAGTGAAGTTAGGGTAGATCTTTCTGAGAGGAAAATGGAAATGCAGAGGAAGGAGACAGACACCTTGGGCTGGGGGTGGTCATAGGAGAGCCAAGATTTGAGAAACCCTTGAAATTGTGTTCGACATCAGGTGTGTACTGTATGTGTGTTTTTTTCTGGGAAGATTCTCCAAGGAGCATGGGATCCCTTCTCCCCAAACATTAAGAACCAGTGCATTTAGATGCTTAACAAAATATTTTGGGGGTTGAATCTAGAGCTTAGTGTTCAATCCAACAAAATTCAATAGAATTCATCAGCAAAGGATTGCAAACATTTTTTCCTCAAATGTCAATGCTTTATTATAAAGAACACTTCTGACAAACATTTTTAGTATTTATTTACTTATATATTTACTTACATTATACAGTATTTGTATATATATAACATAACTATATACTATATGTATGCATATATATATTCTTTCCTTTCCTTACCCGACTCCACACACTTACTTCCTGGAACTGAAGTAAGTGATATGAATTTGGAGGGCAAAATTGGCCTCCCGCCATCTAATGTATCCTAGACAGAAAAAAGTGAACTTTTGCTCTTCCTGTTGTAATACTATTGATTGACCTGGAACTGCCCAGAGGTGGGCTTGCTCTCAGCCGGGAAACCTGCCTTCTTCCATTTTAAGTATTTCCTAGATTCCATATTATAAGCACAGATAGAACTTGACATACATCCATGCAGGTACATAGATTTAGCTTGGTCTGGCTGAGTACAGGGCAGAGCTCCTGGCTTTATGTGAACAAGCTATGGGGTGGAGGCTGGCGGGTGCCGGGGGCACCCTGGCTGCCACGCGGGGCCCCTCAGCCCGGCCCTCGGGGTCAGGGTCAAGGCGCAGGAGGGTCCGGCCTCGGTGTGGGGGCGGTGGGGGCGCCGAGGCCGTGACCCCGGCCGGTGCGGAGCCCCGAGGCGGCCACCCACCGGCGATGGCCCAGGGCGCTGGGCTGCCCCTGAGGCCCGGCGCCCTCCCCGAGCGGCGTCGCCCGTGCCGCAGACCTGACGGCCTGGTGGCTCCCGAGAGGCTCCGGGCCTGGGCGGCCGCCGCCGACCCCTCGGCCCCGGAATACCAGTGGACCCTACGGAACGTGGGGCCGTCGTGGGCGCCCCGGCTCGATGGTAGTTGCCCGGCCGCCCGGCCGCCGGGGAAGCCCGTGGAGCCGCAGCCCCAGCTCAGGCTGGTCTCGCCCGGCCCGGCGCCAGCCCGCGGGCCTCGCAGGCCGCCCACCGCCGAGGGGGCTGCGCTTGCCGCCCGCCGCCGCCTGCTGCCCGCCCTGTCCTCCCGCTGCAGGAAGGCCGAGTCGGCGGGGGCGCCCGTCCAGCCGTTCGCCCCGCAAGCGGAGGGGCCCGGGCCTCGGGGTCACAGCGCCCCGGGAGACGACGCGGGAGACAACACGTGGGCCCGCGGCGCCGTGGGGTAAGAGGCCGGCGCCCAGAGCGCCCCTGCGAGGCCCCACCGGCTGTCCCCTCGCCCTGAACTCCCCACTGAGCGCCCACAGCCGGGGGAGGGAGAGGGAAGGGTCCCCCCCCACACGTGGGCTTTGCACCTCTCACTTGCACCTCCTTCCGGACAACCACCTCCCGGTTCTTCTGCCCCAAAGCTCCTTCCCCGGACTCCCAGTCGCAAGGCCTCCTTGGCTCCGGGCCCTCCTCCAGGCGCGCGGGCCTTTCAAGGCACCCGCTGCCCTCCTCCCCGGCACACACCTGCGAGGCCCCAGGCAGCACCGCCTCCTGAGCAACCAACCTCCTTCCTCCTTCATGCTTCCATCGCAGTGGTTGGCATAGAGCCGGCGGATCCTACTTACTGATTCAAAACTTTCCTGTACCGTGTTTTCTATTTCTTCAGGATACACCTTTCCCTCTAGGTGACAATAAAGCGTATACGATTAGCAAATATACTGATTACTGCAGTGGCTTTAATTTGTGAGTCTTTCCAGATAGCCGTGATTGCTTTCCTTGCTATCTTAACAGCTCTCTAATTTCTATCTTAAATAGTAGTGGGCTTGGATACCATGATAGTTTGGTGTGGAAAATAGCGTTTGGGGCTGTGGGCTTTTGTTTCTGAAACATGCATGGGGTGCTTGCTCTACCTGTACATAAGGTTAATCCCATTTTCAAGTGGAGCACCTGTTTTAAATGATTAAAAGCAGGGTTCATGATCCAGTTTTATAAGTCCCAGCTAATTCACCCTATTTTTTTCTAATTTGTATTTTATCTTCCTATGTGATAATATCTTAATTTCCTCATCTTCTGTCTGTTAGATCTTCCAATTTGCTTTTGTCTATGTTCCCCCATGCTCTTTTCTAGGTTTGACTTTGCCTCTTGTTTCTGATTTATTTTATATTGTTATCCCCACCCTGCCCTCATAGCACCTTTCTCCTGCTTTCTAAGTATTTTCTTAACTTCCTTTAGATGGGGAGCCAAAGTTCATCTTTTCTTTAAATCAATGTTGTACCTCACCCATACATGTGCCTGTCCCACAAACTGTGTAGGATTTTAAGGAAACAGAGGAGCAAAATGGGGAGAAGAAATGGTGAGAACTGTGGCATCAACCTGCGCATGTCGAACATCTCTCATGAGGTAGGGCAGATGCTATTGAACTTGAGTGTTTGGGCAGCAGCTTCCATTGTTAAGACCTAACTCCCACTGAATCTGACGGCTGAATCCCGTGCTGCTGTCTCTTTGTGAGCAGTTTATCCTGAGTTTTCCTCTTGGCACATTTGGAATATCAAGTGGAATTTTTTTTTATTTCTTTTAACAAAGGAAAAGTTAACCAGTTCTCGCCAAAACTCAACACATTTCTAATTATAATTGGATTTCGTTTTATTGGGTTGTCAGAAAAGTCATGACGCATTTTTGCAACAAAAAAATTACAGGCGGGATATCAAAAAGTAAACCCATTCCCAACCTGTAAGGAATTGCAATCTAGCTGGCTTCATGTGTGGTTGAAACCTTCCTTACCAATCAACAAATTTGGTTACATTAATTTTTTTTTTTTTAGCTGAGCCATCCTGCCACCTGTTGGCAGCTGAGCAGCTGCTCAGCTTGGGCTGGGACACGAACCGCTGTTGCTCAGAGCTCAAACTCTCGAGCGAGCTCTTAACCAACTGAGCCACTTGGCCGGCTGGTTACATTAATTTTATTGTGTAATCTCAACACCACAGTTCATCAGCTTCCCTTTACCATGTTAATTTAAGGATATTTCTCTCATATGTTATTTTGTACATTAGTGTACCAGGGTTACATACATAGCTGAGAGAAGCATGAGAATCTGTAAGGGAGGATTTAAAAATACAAATAACTGGGCCATACCCTCATCCTACTGAATCAGAATCTGTAGTATTTTTTCAACTTTTTTTTTTTCTTCATGCGAGAGTCGAATCGGCAACCCTGCTGTTAAGAGTGCACGCTCTATCCACTGAGCCATCTGGGGGCAGCTCAGCTCAAGGTGCTGAAATCAGTCTCAGCCACGGGTGGGCATAGCCTACCATCGAACAGGCAGTCTTGTTGTTAGGAGCACACGCTCCCACCAACTGAGCCATCCTGCCACCCGTTGGCAGCTCAGCGGCAGCTCAGCTCGGGTGAAGCCCACTGGCCCATGTGGGAATCAAACCAGCGACCTGCTGGTCAGAGCTCGTGCTGTTAAGCAAACTCTTAACCAGCTGAGCCAGTCAGCCAGCCCCTTTCAACTATTATTTTTGAAAAAGCTACCCAAGTAATTCTCACATAGAGACTAGATCCAAAACATAGTATTTCAGAGAACAGATAATAATGTATTAATTTTATTTTTCAAAAATCAGAGAAAGAGAACCAGCAGCCTACTTCCCAAGGTCCAACTATTATTCCCATCAGGAGATAACTTCTTTGCGGATCAGTTAAATCCTCATTCTGTATATAAACTTATTTCTCCCTGCTCTTACTTAGTGTGGAGATACCTAATACTACCTGACATTCTAAATATTTATATATTGCCTAGAGTTTAATTTACGAAGGATTTTCTCATTTTAGATAGAAAACAACTGATTTCATTCCTAAAAAAAATTCCTTTTAAAATAATAAATGAATCACGTCTTCACTTTTCCTTTTTCAGAATAAACTATTGCAGTCCTCCCCTACACACGCCCCACACTTTTCCCCCCCATAGCACTCAGCACAATGTCTGGAGCATAAATATTCAGTACATACTAGTATCTTTCCCTATTCATTTTTTGGCTTTCTTTTGAGTATTTCCTGAGTGTTTCTCAACATCTGGAGTTCAGAATGAGTAGTGGGCTGCTTGATGTTGAGTGCAATGTGAGGATTAGAGAATTTCCTTCGTTGATGGAAAGATTTTATAGGCTTTCAGATCTGGTACTCAGGTACAGAAAATTTGGTGAATATGCCATTGTGTACGAGGGACACACTGAACTGGACATTTTAGTATACTTTTTAACTCAATTTTGAAAACCTGTGTGCCATTATTTTTAACAAAATGATAATGGAACCATAAATTATTGTGAATGCTTTTCCATTTCCTGTGTAATAAGTGTTATGAAGCTGATAACACAATAGTTTGATAAGAGAACATTGCATGCTACTCATCTATACTGGTAGTATCCTTATAGGAGGGGGAGGGGGTCATAAAGCTTTGTGCCTTTTGTCACATTCCATCCAAAGGACATGTGAAATTATGTACCTGAGATTTTAAAACTTTCTTAACATTATGTTTATCCTAAAACAAATACTGTTTTAGAACTTACCTCACTGGAATTTGGACTCAGAAGTACCTGTTCCTGAAAATAAAAACCTCCCACCTGGAAAGGATAGTGCAGCAGGTGGTAAGAAATTCTAGATGTGTATATTTATACTTATTTTTATAAATATAGGAAAATTTATATTCATATTTGTAATATGAATAACCACTCATATTAAAGGGGGGTTATTTTTAGTATAACCAGTTTTATGTAATTACTAATTGTCATTTTTTTCATACACATTCTTTCAGGCAAAATTAACAAGGTAAGGATAAATGTTTGGTTTTAAATAATTCTCAAAACAATATTTTAAAATTATTGTATGTTCTTTAAAAAAAATTTCTTTCCTCAAAGTTAAACTTTAAATTTCATTTCTCTAGAGTTCTTCAAGTCAAAGCCTTTAGTGTTTTACAGGGCTGCAAATTGGTCATTAATATTTTATTATGTTAAGTTTGTTCAATAAAACAATACTATAAAAGGAAATTAACTTTGTAGTGAATATAGACAGGATGGCTCAGGTAAAAAAAGACAATTTTAATGATATTCAAGGCTCATTACTTAACACTGTTTAGTTGGTATTTATAAGACGATACTAATTCCTACTGAAGTCAGTAAAAACTAGTTATATCTGTATGTATATCAGGAAGTATTATAGGATTTTACTATATATTTTTTGTTGGAACTATATATTCTTTAGTTACAAGAACTATAGTCTTAGAACATGAGTAGGGAGCAGAGTATATTGTGTTTAAAAGTCTTCTGCTGCTTTCTAGAACCATTTGGAAATTCCAGTAGAGCAACTGATGTTAGAACTTAATTTGTCAGAGCATGCTCACAAAAGAACACAGGTGGGATTTTATTCATCATACTCCCTTCCTAAAGTATTATTTTTTAAAAAATCATGCAGTTACTAAAATGTTGTCCATGGCTTTTCTGTTATCAGAATAGTAAACAAGAGATATTTCAGTTCTGGAGTGGTCCTCTTAATGAAGGAAGTACCATGGAGACCAGGTGAGAGGGTCTTTTTTAAGCCCCTAAATTAGTGAAATAAATTTAAATACAGAGGAGTTCACTACTCATCTGAAATACTAGTACAAAAAACAACCAGAAGAAAAAAGTTTTGTGTGCAGATAATGGGATATTATAGAAACTCACCCTAAACTAGGAAGTGGCTGGCAGACACCACAGAGATAATTAGTATATGGGGTAACTGAGAGTACTGGGCCGTTACAATGAAAGTTTAGATGGATAGAGTTTGGACTTCTCATTGAAGGGAAAAGGGATTTTAAGAGGAAAGTAATACTACTCCATGTGCCAGGAAAAAATTGAATTCCTTATGTGTACTAATACATTTAATCCTCACAATCCTATAAAGTAGGTACTGTTAATCATCATCCCTGTTTTACAGATGAGGACATAGAGGCAGGTGACAAGCTGAGTAACTTTCCCAAAGTCTTACAATTAATGAATGGTAGAACCAGAATGTACAAGTAACTTGATTCATGCTCATAAACACTATATAGTATATTGCTTCTCAGACGTTAGTTGGATTTCAATTCTTATTTTTTGGTTCTGAAACTTTAGTGTATATTAGAATCAGCTATAATGCTTCTTAAAAGTACAGGTTACGATTATTTGGAAATTAACATTTATTGAACACCATACTGTGTCACTTTTGCATATAGTATATTGTTTAATGGAGAACTTGAGTTCTGTTCCTCTCTTTTGTACCCAGTTTTTACAATAGGGTGGTTGGTTCACCTTATAGTAGCTATCTCCTAGTCAGAGGGTTTTACCTCTGCGAAGCTCAGGATAAAGTCATCTAATGCTAAAACCTGAGGAGTGAAACCAAGAAGTGCTAAAGGGATTGTCCTGACTAATGACCTAAGGGAATATTGGTGCTGAAGGGGATAGGAAAGGCTACTTTAACTAGAAAGAACACAGCTGGAAACAGGGATTTCAAGGTAAAGATCAAATGAAATGAATTGAATTCTATTATACTAACAGAAGAGCAAGCACTTTATGAGTCAGTAGAATTCAGGTTAGGATCACAGACATGGGATCCCACCACCTGGGTTTAAATCCCAGTTCCACCACTTACTAGATGTGCGATCTTAACCAGCCTTGCCTCAGTTTCCTTATCCATAAAAGGTAGAAAGTTAAAAGTGTCTATGTCCTGGGGTTGTCAGGACTAAACAAAATAATGTGTTTGATTGGCATTTGTAATACTGGGAAGGCCTAATAATATTATGAGTTAGAAGATTGGTATCAATGAAATATTTTATTACTGAGATTGTTCTCCTTGATATACCATTGACAAGTAAAGAGAATACAAGTAGTGATTTTCATTTAGTGTTTAACAATTTGCAAAGTACGTTTGTATAATTGTCTTGCTTCTTAGACCACTTCCAAGGTAGGTATTATTTCTTCGGCCTCCAAATTCCATGATCTTTTTACTACACTACATGGATTGTGTCTATTAGCAATTGGAGATTTAAAGTAATTTTCCTGTAGTTTTTCAAAGGCAAGTCAGTATACCTAGTTTTTAGCTAAATGAATAAATTTTTACCATTTTCTGTAGAAATGAAAGTATTTTTCAAAATCTTTCAAGATTACCTAGCTGTCTTAAATATAAACTGGCTTTAAAAGAAGTAAGAAGATAAACTATAAATATTTTTCAATTAAGGGATCAAATTTTTCAATGTCAATATTTCTAGTAAATTAAAAAAAAAACCCTAACTATAAACTCAGTATTCTATGGCCTGGCTTTTTTGCAGTTTTCATTTTAATATAATATCTAGAAGTATTATTCCTAAAATAAAAGAGCACCATCAGATGAAAATGACTATGGACTATATCTAGGGTAATATTGATTTGCTAGACATTGTTTTGCTTCTTTTTTTGTTAGAATAATTTTAAAAAACAATGGCTAAAATAGAAGCCTTAATTAAGTAACCTATGTTCTTTAAGAGTTTCCTTTTATCTAATTAACATTTCACTATAATTTCAGTTTGAGTTGGATAGCCTCCTTTCAGACATCATAATTGCATGTACAATATATTCATAAGCAAATAGATATAATTAGCCACTTTTAACCTAGTGGCCATTCATAGCCACAGTTAGCCATATGTAGTTATAATGATCTCATTACCTGTGCATGCACAAAGAGATGTCCAGTTAATATTTAATCAAGTTTAAAAAATGTATACAATTAGAGCATATTTGGAAATTAACATATTTGTTACAGATACATAGATACACATATGCCATTAGGAACTAAACATTAACCAGTCTTTGATAAAGTTTAGTTTTTCATTATTTTAATAGCACTTTAATCCTAGTCAACAAGCCATTCATTAATTAAATAATTTTTTAAGGGATTTCAAAAAATCTTCAATGGAAACTGGCTTTAATGTAACCAATAATCCCATCAGGCTCTTCACTCTGAACCACTCACTAACAAAGGCTTCAGTTGATAAACAAGCTGGTTCTTACTCTGGACTGCAGACGCCATTAGGTCTCTGCTGGCCCTATGCTGATGGAGACTTTTTTAAGGACAGCAAAGAGCCTCATATTAATTTATGTTCAACCACAGAAAATAATGGTGAAACTTTATCTGCTCCAAACTGGAATTTGAAATATGGAAACAGCAGTGTAGAAGATTTAACAGATGAAAGTGATTTATCAGAAAATGAAAAAACAAATGATACTTTACTCAGCTATTTTAAAAAGATGGACCTGAATTTAAAGCCAGAAATAATAGAAAATGTTGAAGAATCTTTCCCTGAGGAACCAAGTGAAGTATTTTCGTATCCTGATTTTCTCCCTCCTCCTTTCAATACTCTGGACTTGCACAAATTAGCCCTCTCAAAATCTGAAAATTGGAAAGGAACAGTGGACTCTCTGGAAAGCTGCACTGAACATTTGATAACTCGTTTACTGGAAATGGAACGCTTGCAGCATATGACTATACAAAAAGAGAGGCCAAGACTACAAAGTACCTTCTGTTCTTCAGCGGTCACCGATCTACCCTCTTCCTCCAAAACTATACCCAAAATTAGACAGCCAAAACTTTCTGACTCTGTGAGTCTTCAGACAACTTGTGTAGATAAAAGTAGAGAAAAAAGAAAAATCAGTTCTGGTTCTTACAAGCTTGAACAAAATGCTTCAAAATGGAATTGGAGCAATGTTGACAAATATAAATGGAATTGTAGACCATCTCTGAAAAGTTCATCCACAACAAAACAACTGATGGGAACTTATGATTATTTTAAGAACCCCAAAAGCTCCATTTTAAATTCATGCCAAGAACTCTCGACCAAGCCTACTACTGCCCAAACAACTCAATCACTGGTTAAAATGGTCTCAACAAGATCTTGCCTGCCATCAAAGTCTCCAATACCAGTTTCACCCATACCTCTGACTTTTCCTGAAAATCTGAGGGAGGAAATTAAAGGATCAAGGACAAAAAAGAGATTTTACCAAAAAAACATAGTATTGAGCAGACCATTCTACATTCAGAAGCTAAACTGTTTATCACCTTCATTTATACCTAAGGATAAGTGCTCACCCATTGAGCAAAAGTAACTTGTTTTTTCATACATCTCAATGTGAGCGAATGTATTCCAGGAAGCCCAGCTAAAATATGGTTCATCATTCCGAGATGCAGGTATTAAACACACACACACACACACACACACACACACACACACACACACGTGATCTATGGAGTGGAACTTGTGGAAATCACTGCTGAGATACCTATATATCAATCCAAGGGCTTCCATACTGACATAGTTGACAATCTTTTGCATGTTACGTTTCACTTAGTAAACTATTCTATTCAAAAGATGTTCTTTTGTTGTGATTGATTCCCAAAATAACCCCATCATCAATAACTGGTATAAATGGACTTATTGCTGCTATAGTCCCTTTCTTGTGTTCTGTTATACACGTTAGTTACCTCTTTCAGTGATTTTTTTTTTAAATTTCCCACTCTGTTACGTTTTTTCTCCCTTCCCATCTTCACAAATCTCTCTTGTCATTTTGACCTGTCCTTCAGGTATTTGCCCATTAAAAGCTAAAGAAGTTGCTATTTTCTTAAATTAATACACAAGATCCTCCAAACCCTCCTATCAATCCTTAGAAACTTTCCATTTCCCAGGTCCTTTGTCATTTGAAAGCAAGTTCAATTTTCTTTGAGGCCTAATTATAGGTTTAGGCATGAAACAACCCTCTCCCCCTCAGATCTAGTTTTTAAATGTCCAAGGAAAAAAGGGAAAAGGTGACTGTCCACAGAGCAGCCGTATCCTATTAAGAGGATTTTTTCCCCCAAGGCTCTTTGTTGTTGGAAGTCTTAACCCTGGTCAGCTGAAACTCAAATTAAGCTAAAGTTTAACTCATTAACTGGTGAAAAGTGAACCTGATTGACACTGCACTTAAGAATGAGGGAAACAAAGTAGACTCCTGGGTTCTACTGCAGGCTTACAGAAACAGAATCTTTGGGAGTGGGGCCAGGTAATTTTAATGCAAGTGGTCATCAGATCACACTTTGAAAAACACTGTAAAGGAAAAACTGGACAAAACGTGCATAGATCAGAGTTTAGATTTGGGGGGGGGGGCGTAGTGTGCTTTGGTTTTAGTGAATGGTTGGTGAATTCAAGATTGTTTTCCTTAAACATTAAAATAAAGCCACACAGCCGGGCGCGGTGGCGCGCGCCTGTAGTCCTAGCTACTCGGGAGGCTGAGGCTGGAGGATCGCTTGAGTCCAGGAGTTCTGGGCTGTAGTGCGCTATGCCGATCGGGTGTCCGCACTAAGTTCGGCATCAATATGGTGACCCCCCGGGAGCGGGGGTCCACCAGGTTGCCTAAGGAGGGGTGAACCGGCCCAGGTCGGAAACGGAGCAGGTCAAAGCTCCCGTGCTGATCAGTAGTGGGATCGCGCCTGTGAATAGCCACTGCACTCCAGCCTGGGCAACATAGCGAGACCCCGTCTCTTTAAAAAAAAAAAATAAATAAAAAAAAATAAAATAAAGCCACACACAATTAAAACTTCAAACATTACCCAAAGGTAAAAGGAAAAGGCCTCTCCCCATTCCTCAACCCCCCACAAAGGCAGTAAAATATTAAGTTTTTGTGTATCATCATCCCCCCAAATAAGATGGAATATTTTGAGTTAGGAATGGATGAGGTGAATTAAAGGACAATTCAAATAAATGTTGAGAGCAACTGAAGTTTTAGTAAAAGAGTAAGGCTCAAATAGTTTTCTTAGAGACAGGAGTCAAAGAGAATATTAGTTTTTAGGTTAATTTCAAAGAATTTTCTGGAACCGTATCAACACAGCAATAAAAAGTAAACTTAACTGTTCAGGATCTGTTGTTATGTAACAGAATTTTACCTAAATCCTATGAGATTTATGTCATTATCTGAAGTGGTATAACATCCCTTTCACAAAATAATACAAAAATTAACTTATATTTTCACTCAATTCCAATTGGCAATGATCTTTCATTTCCCCTAGCAACTATCTTCACTCTTCATTCTTACAGTTCTAACTTGAGCCCTGAACCTTACTTACCAGCCCTTTGTACCCATTCTCACTTCCACTTTTCTCATGTGTTTGGATTTTATCCACTCACCTTCGGGCTATAAAGATGTAATTTTCATTTGTAAAACCTTTAGGAAGGGACAGGATTTGTTCCCCACTGCATCCCAAATGATCATTGCCTGGCATGTCTGGCATGTAGTGTATACCCTTCAAAGTTTCAAGGGATGGACTTGATCAATCACTGAAGATCGTTATGACACGGCAGTGAGCACTGGCTCCATAGCCGACTGCTGAATTCACACCCAGGCTCTGCCACTTCACAGCTCTAACACCTCAGGCAGGGTCCTTAACCTCTCTATTCTTCACTTTCCTAATTTGTAAGGTGGGTAGAATACCTTTTATCTCATAAAATCATGTGATGATTAAGTGAAAGATTGAACTATGAGAAAATAGGAACGACACAGGACTGAATGGGATGAGCCACCTTAGCACCTGTCACTAGAGTAGATTAGTGCCCAATTTCTTGCAAGGCATGTGCCAGGGACCAGGCATGGTATGGAGTAACAAAGATGTCAACCCTGGTTTTCAGTAAGAACGAGTGGGAGTGGGCATGGGAATCAGAGGTGGGGAAGTGTTTTCGAGGCAGAGGTCACAGGGTTCAGTCTGTCAGGGGTCCCATGAAGTTGATTCCTGCACTAAAGGATTTGCTTTGGTCCTTTTGGGTGTTGGGAGTGGGGGGCAGGTACTGATAGGTAAGGGTAAATAATTATTGGAAATAGCCAGGCTACTTTATTTAGGGTGCCATTAGACCTAAACAAAAAGCTGCTGTAACACCAGATCGTTTTCAATTACAGTAAAAAATTGCTTTAAATTATGTAAAACTACATTGGCAGCATTGCAAATCTCAATAGGGGCTAATAATTTTAACATCATGATCTCTTAGTAAAAATATAGTTGCTAGGAATTTTTTCTGTTTAAACTGATCCCTAAAATGAGGCAAGTGGTATGTAGCCATCTCAGTTCATCTTGTAGAATGATGGGGCAAAAGATTTGGTTCATTCAAATAGGCAATACATATAAATTTGGTGGAGAGAAAAACTCACCATGGCTGGTGGGAGTGGGGGGAAACCTGTAGTTACAACTTTTAATGTCCCTCGTATTTTTTATTTTTTTTAAGATTTTTATTGGGGAATGGGGAGGGGAACAGTGTTGGAGAATTGGGGAAGGGGAACATTGTGTTTTTCCAGGACCCATCAGCTCCAAGTCAAGTTGTTGTCCTTCAGTCTTAGTTGTGGAGGGCACAAGCTCAGCTCCAAGTCCAGTCACCGCTTTCAATCTTAGTTGCAGGTGGGCAGAGTCCACCATTCCATGCAGGAGACGAACCAACAACCTTGTTGCACACTGAGCTATCCGGCCTCCTGTTGGCAGCTCAGGCTGATTAACTCAAGGTGTCATGTTCAATCTTAGTTGCAGGTCAGCACAGCCAACCATCCCATGCAGGGGTCGAACCGGCAACCTTGATGCTAAGAGCACGCACTCTCACCATCTCAGCGGCAGCTCAGCTTGGGCACAGCTCACTGGCCCATGTGGGAATCGAACAGGCAACCCTGTTGCTCAGAGCTCGCACTCTTAACCAACTGAGCCACTTGGCCGGCCCTCCCTTGTAAGTATTTCAATCACTGTTTTTAAAAGCTGAAGATGGTCCCTGAGGAGAAGAAAATAAAAATGGTAGGCTGAGGATAAGAATCAGGCCTCCCCATCTGCAATGAACCAATTTAAATCATTACAGAAAAGGAAGTTATCTCATTGCTTATTGTGCTTTTATTACCAGGAAAACCAAATCAGAATTACATGTAAGAACAGGAATACACCATTTGGTGTGTGTTCTGCACTTAGCTGTTCAGAAAATGTTTTGTCTGAAAGTTCCCAATTGGCAGTTCCCAATAATATTATAGCACAGAATACTTTTCAAAGCACATCTGCAAACATCAGTGATACAGATCTAAGAAACATCAGGTAAGAAATGGTGTCTTTAAAACTCAACAAAAAATACCAAACTCAAGCAAAGGAAAAATCAGGAGACAATACAGTAACAAGATGTATATTTTATTATGTTTTTCCAATCAGTTGACTGGCAACATTGCTGCTAAAATGCAAGTTACAATTCAAATAGTACCACAAACAATTGGAACACATATCGAGTTTTCAGATTTCAGCTTCCATCTCTTGATCACTAAATGAAAAGACTCTTCAGAAGAACAGTCCCTTACCCTACATATAGAAGGAAAAGAAAAATTAAAGATGCCATGATGTTATGCATCAAAATAACTGGAAAACATTTTAAAATTCAATTTAGTGTACATTATTGACATGTAAAAAACAAATGAATTTGTAGTGAACACTTTTATAAGGAGGACATTCCATCTAGAAGAATGACGAAATTCATGTTGAATATGTACTTGAACTACAATACTATGAAGAAACAAAGACTTTATGAACTTTATGAAGGCCAATTAACTTAGGGAAGGAAATGACATATTTGAATATCTGGCTTTTTTCTTAACTCCACCATTTAAAAGAGCATTCTTTAACTGGCCTAAATTTTCAGATATGTGATTCTTTTATTTCTACATAGCCAGCTGGAGTTTCGCTACAAAATGATAACAGATGATAAAGTCTAAATATAGTAAAAAAGAATGCAGATATGAAGCAAACCTGAGAACATTATATTTCATTGCCTCTACTATATACCATAAAACATTATATAATTTTTTCACGTTATAAAAATGTCCTCAGCCGGCCGGGTGGCTCAGTTGGTTAAGAGCTTGCTCAAGAGTTTGAGCTCTGAGCAACAGCAGTTCGGTGCCCAGCCCGAGCTGAGTTGCTGCTGAGCTGCCTACAGGTGGCAGGATGGCTCAGCTAAAAAAAAAAAAAAATGTCCTCAGTATTTCTTTTAGTTAGGAAAAAAAGTGGTAATTATAATGGCAAAACGTAAAAATTACTTTAAACCACAAAATTATTTTGACGGAAAGAAGTAGAGTAGAACAAGATATGCACTGGGGAATAAAGAAATAGGATGCTTTCAGTAAGGATTTAGGGGTGAATACAAATATAGAGATGGTCTTAAAATTTATGACAAGATGCTCCATCCCTTCAAAGCCTCAAAACTCCAACCTATTTGTGATAACCTTTAAGAATAAGGTTTACCTAGAGAATGGTGTCTAAAATCTTTCTAAAATCTCAGCTATTGTC